TCACGGCCTTGGACACGTGCGCGAGCGAAGGGAAGGGGGGCCAGGACGCATGGAAAGAAGAAGATGAAGAAAGAGAAGACGAAAGAGACGACGAAGGAGAAGAAGAAGAAGAAGGAGAAGAAGAAGAAGGAGAAGAAGAAGAAGAAGAGGGTGCCGTGAGATCCAAGGGGGGGCGTCTCACGACCCCGGCATCAGGCTTCGTGGCGCCTGGGCCTGGTGAAGAGCCCTGTGATACGGACCTAAACGCTGCCGCGGGCGCGAGGGGGCGGCGTCGGCGGCGGGCCTGCCGCCGGGCCGCCTGCTCGAGGGCGGCGGCCTGGGCACGCGCGGGCAGCCGGCCCCGCCGACGCCTCGCCCCCTTCGGCTCAGGCGCGCCGCTGGCCGCCGTCGGCGGAGCTCCGCGGGAGTGTCCCGAGGGGATCGGGGGGGGCGCTTGCCTCCGTCTCCCTCTCTCTCTCTCTCTCTCTTTCCCTCTTTTTTCTCTGTCTCTCTTTCTATATTTTATCTCTCTCTCTCTCTCTGTCTCTTTCTCCTTCTTTATTTCTCTCTCTCCCTCTCTCTCTCTTTCTCTCTCTCTCTCTCTCTCTCTCTCTCTCTCTCTCTCTTTCTGACCCCGAAGAAGCCCCCAAGAGGCCCCAAGAGGCCCCCAAGAGGCCCAACAGATGCCCCAACAGGCACCACCAGCCCCTGGTTGTTTCCTCTCACTGACAGGTCGCTGTCTTCAGGGTCGGCGGCACCGGCCGTAAGGCCTTCGCAAATATTGTTTGGATTTTCGTCTTCCCCCCCACTTCCCATATTTTCGCATATTTTCCTGGGAATCGGCGATTAATTGAGTCTGTGTGTTTTTTCCCTCCTGATTCTCACCCTGGGTAGCTCTTGCTTGGAGTCCCGAAACGGTGCGGTGACAGACCGTGCGGTGACCTCGGAATCCCGTCAACGCAAGGTTTTGGAACCTCGGATGCCCCAGTCGCCCGAGACGTCCTCGGAGAACAGCGCGAGTCACAAAACCGTGAGGTGACCCCGAATCCCCACCGACTCACCGCACGTTGGCGGCGCGCACAAGGGGGTAGGGGGAGGGGGGAAGGCTAGAAGGAGGGGTGCTTCTAAGAAGCCTCCCCCCTCCCCCTACCCCCTTCTGCGCGTGGCCAGGCACGGTGCGCTCACCATCCCGCTTGGGGGGCCCTCGATCTTGACGGTCCGGGGACCCCGTGGGGGGGGGAGCCGGGTGGAGTGGGCCTGGGCGGCAGGATCGAGAGGGTTGGGGCGCAGGGCGCTCGGGAGGCGGGCCGCTCTCTTTACTAATGCGAGCGTTTTCGTGTTCGGCGTGTCGACATCGAAAGGGGCCCTGGGACACACAAATATCGATAGACACACATGACAGGATTCCCACTTCCCGTGTTTTCCATCTTTTCTGGGGAATCGATGATTAATTACTTGTGTCTGCGTGTTTTTTTCCCCTCCTGACATTGGGCGGAAGCGGGGGGAGGGAGTGGGGGGTCTGGCTCCGGAGCTCTGCTGAATGCGGCTGTTTGCAGCAGTGCGTCCCATGGAGGGAGGCCCCACCTGCTCGAAACACGTGCCAAGAACGGCCAAGATCTGCTCCAGGGGGGGGTAGGCGGGGGGAGTGGGGTGCGAAGGCCCGCGCCGATCGGCCAAACAACGAATTCGAAAACGATCACACTCTGCAGTGCCTGTCTGGGGTCAACTGGCCGCCATGGGCGGCGCGCCGACACCTCCGTTGCACCGACGGCCAGAAGAATTATAAGGCTGTCGGGGTCCTGCGCGCAGCTCCTACGGAATAGGCAGGGGACCTGGCCCGGGAACATACTCTGAGGCCGGGCATGTCCTCCTACAGGCGGATTTGGGAGGAAAATTTCAGAGTAGCCCAAAAGTATTCAAAAGTAATCGGAAATAGTAGAACAATCGCCCCCGGACTATTTGTTGACTATTCTTGAACACTCTCCCTGTAGAGGGACATGCACAACTTAACTCAAGGCCTGGGCCCCCGTCGGGGCTCAAGAGCGCGCCGCATCTTCAGCACACTCGGGGGCGGCCAAGAGGGGGGCGTCCAAGAGGGGGGGGGGGGGGGGCGCAGACCATGGCCGGCGGCACGTGCGCGGCCCAAGGTGGGGCCAGGGACGTCATGAAGTAAGGAGCGGCGCCCTGAAATCCGAGGGAAGCTCATGGCCCACGCCATGATGTCCACCCCCCCCCCCCCCCCCCCCCCCCCCCCCCCCCCTTGGCCGCTCCCGACGCACTGCAGCTCCTCGAGCACCACCGCGGAGAGCCCGGCGCGACCCGCTGGCAGCGGGGGCACCGCGCGCGCGGGCGCGCACAGCTCTAAAACAGGGCTAGGATCGGGATAAATCGCTCCAGAGCGTTCAGGAGCGCTCTCAGAGCGTTCCCGAACGCTCTGGAGCGGCCGCGGCGCCCAATACATCCCCCAAACCCGCCGATTCTCAGAGATTTCGAGTTATCCCGATCCGATTTTGCCCCGATCTTCGTGTCGTCTTAAGCTCCCCCCGCACGGGCTCCCCCCGCGGGAGGAGCAGGCCGCGCGGAGGCGAGGCGACGGGGCTCCGAGGGAGAGTCGGCCAGCCCTGCGGCGGGCGGCGCGGGCCGAAACGGCGCGGAGGCCACTCCCAGGCCTCCGACGTCGCGCGCTCTTCTTCGCAGCGTGGGCCACCCCCCCCCCCAGAGGTCGGGGGGGCGGTAGCGGCGGGGGACCTGCAGGGGGGTGGAGAGGAGGGCCCCTGCAGGGCCCAAGTCCTCACCCCCCACGCAGCAGGGCTGGACCCGAACGTGGTTGCTCGTGTCGATTTCGTTTTGTTGCTCGTTCTGCTCTGCCTGTTTTGCTGCACCTCCCTGCCAAAACGAAAAACAAAAAAAGCCGAAGTGCAGCAAAACAACGTTGGTGTCCTGCCCTGGGGTGACCTGCATAGGGGGTGAAGATAGGATAATAAAAAACGGCATAAACATAAACTTTTGGCGCTCCACGCGGATTTCTTGGATGTGCGCTGGACCCCCTCTCCCTGACGCGCGGAGCGCGCCAGGGGCGGCGCCAGAGGCGCCGCTGGGGGGGCCAAAGCGCGGATCCAAGAAATCCGAGCGGAGCGCCAGAAAAGTATGTTTATGGCGTTCATTCCTTCCTCGAAAAGAAAAAGGCCCCTTCAGGGCCCATTTCCTCACCCCCCGTGTAGGTCACCCCGCAATACCACCCGCCCCCAGATCGGCATGAACGAAATGGGTACGGAAAGAATGGGCACAATGCCCAACAGCAGACCCTGTTCGTTTTGGACAGGACTCGCTGTCCGCGCTGCCGCGGCCTGTGTCCATTTGAGACAGAAGGCCACCTGCCCAACAGCGGCCGCTGCTGGTTTGGGACAACACTTTGCGTTGGGCAGTGTACCCATATTTTCCGTACCCATTTCGGGCGTCCAAACCAGAGGTCTTGGCACTGCCCCTGGGGCCGGCAATTCCTCCCGAGCCGTTCTCTGACAGTCCCGGGGCCGGGTGAAGGCCCCAGGCGTCTACAGCGGAGGCCAGTCCACAAGAAACCTCCCACAAGAAATCCAACCCTGAGACCCCAGGGCGTCCCTTGATTTGTAACGTGGGGGCGTCATGCTTTCCACAGCAGGACCATCGAAACCCAAGAAACCCAAGGCACCCTGGAGGCAAGCAGGGTGTTTCTTGGCATGGGCCTCCACTGCACCCCGCGTTCCCCTCCTCGAGGAAGGGATGGCTGGGGAAACTCAAAAAGGTCAGCCGCATCCGTGCCCTTCTCAGGGATGACCGAGGGGCCAGCAGCAGCGGGGCGAGAAGCAACATCAGCAGAGGGAGCCCAGCGATGAGCAATGAGCGAGAAAGGGGGAGGAGAACAAAGGAGGAGTGAGCCGTTACTATGATCGCCGACGTCGCTGGTCAGCGCCTGGAGGTCGTCGTCATCGTCGTCGTGGTCGTCGTCGTCTTATCATCGTCGTTGTCGTCGTCGTCGTCATCGTCGTCGACGTCTTGTCGTTGTGGTCATCGTCGCCAAAGTCGTCGTCTTCACATCTTCATCCGTCGTGGCCACGAGACACCGACTCTTTTCCACAGCGTGGACCCCGTGGGATCTCTCGACCCCTTCTCCTGGACCAGCCCTTCACTCCGAAACGCCGCGTCACGGCCCGAGGCCCCCGGTAAGGCTCCCTATAAACCGAGAATTGCCAAAGACCTTCCGTTGGGTCGGGCAAGTCCTCTTACTGGCGGACTTCGGAAGAACAAATATCAAAAAGTAGCGAGAACAAATATTTAAAACATTTACATAAATATATAAATATACATCTATGCATATATGTTTGTTTGCAGATTCCTCCTGTAACGGGACGTGCCCGACTTAACGGGAAGAGTCCCCAGAAACCGAAAATTTCCTAAAACCTTCCGTCGCGTACCTTGCACGACGCGAGGGGGGTCCGGCTTTTCTCGGGCCACACAATGCGGGCCTCCGAAACAGCCGTTCGGGGCTGATGCGGGCACTCTCTCGGAACGCCCTCTGGACGGGGCGCGGCGGCTGAAAAACGCCTCCCGGGGCGGGAAGGAGCCAGAGAACCCACGAAAACGCCCGACAGCCCCAGAGAACCGACGAGAGATGATTCTGGGCCGTCGTCGTCGTCGTCGTCGCCGTCGCCGTCGTCGTCGTCGTCGTCGTCGCTCGGGCCGCGCCTTCGCCTGCCACTCCGCGGCCTGGGCCGCCCGCTGCCGCGCGGCGCGCTGGGCGCCGGCGAGCTGCGCCTCTGTAGGTTTTTGCAGCGGAGGCGCCCCCCGCCGCTCGGCGCGGCGGCCCCGCGGGGGGGAGCACGACCACCACCAGAAGGTGGAGGGAGAGGGGGTCCTCCTCCTCCTCCTCCTCCTCCTCCTCCTCCTCCTCCTCCTCCTCCTCCACCTCCTCCCCCCTCCAACTGATGGCGCTGGTGGTGGTGGAAAACAAGCCCATCACCAACGTCGGCGGCGAGCGAAAGAACAAAATCACGACGGGAGGTTTTTCTCAAGGTTCGGCCTCTGGGGGCCCTTCCGGGGCCTCGGGACCGTCAAAGAACGACTGTCAGGAGGAGAAACTGGCCCTGGGGGGGAGGGCGCGAGACCCATACCGGGCACGAGACCTAGATGGGCGATTTCGGACACCCTGAACCCCAAAACATTTTCATCTTCTGGGGGCCCTGCAAAATCCTTCAAGTTCATGCACCCAAACCCGGGTCAATGCGAAGATCCTGCAAAATCCTGCAAGATCCTGCACCCAAAACCGGATCAATGCGACCCTGGCCCTTCAGGACCCTGCAAGATCCGGAGCTCTGACTGACGCCCGTTTGCATTGACCCCAGTCTCTTGAGCCCCGATGCGGTACGGCCCATCCCTTCCCCGGGTCGGGCTCTTCATCCTGAGTCGTCCGTTGACGGCCCCCAGGCCCGGCAAAGGGGCCCCCAGAGGCTGAAAATGGCAATAAAAAACCTCCCGCCGTCCTCACTAACAGCAGCAAACAAGCAACGAGCATAACAAGAAAAAGCAACGACAATTACAACGAAAATCGCAACACGCAACGAACATAGCAACGACGAGAGCAACACAACCAGCAACGAAAATGGCACCACGAGGGCCTGGGCTGCGAGAAGAGCCTGGGCCGCGAGAAGGGCTCCTCCTTGGCGCCGGCCCTCACTGCTCCGCCCACGCTCGCCGGGAGGTTTCTAGCTGTTTTCGGCCTCGAGGGGCCCTTACCGGGCCTCGGGACCGTCAACGGGAGGGGGGAGGAGGAGGAGGAGGAGGAGGAGGAGGAGGAGGAGGAGGAGGAGGAGGAGGAGGAGGAGGAGGAGGAGGAGGAGGAGGAGGAGGAGCGGGACCGTCAACAAACGACTCCGGATGAAAGGCCAGAGCCCCAGGAACGAGGCCGAGAGCTCTGGGGGTCGCCGTCGCGGAAGAGTCACGGACCTCGGGGGTCTGGGGCGAGGGGCAACGATAAGGGCGGGACTGGCACAGAGGGGGGTCGCATCGACCTGGAATCGGCGATACCCCGCCGATGGATCGGCGAGAAGGCCCCGACGGGGACCCCGCACGTCCCCGGGCAGGGTGGGGCTAGCGGGCCCCCCGTCGGCGATCGGTGGGCGACTGGGGATCTGTATGCACCCCCCCGCTGTGCCTGCCCCCCCCCCCCGCGATCGCTGCCCCCGAGAGCGGCGCAGCCTTCTCCTGGATCCGCGCCTCCGGCGGGGCAGCCCGGGCTCTTCCCGGCCCGGGGGCCCCCTGCACCGTGGAGTGCGGCCCGGGGGACGGGCCGCTCGCCGTGCCCGCCGCTTGCGCCCCCCCCCCCTGGGCCGCGCAGGCCCCCCCCGCCCGTGCTCGGCGGCGAGCGCGGGGAGGGCGCGCGAGAGAAGGGGGCGGGCCTCCCCGGAAGGCTCGAAAGGCCTCGAGCCTCCCGAAGAGCACTCCGAGCCTTCCCCGAGGGCGCACGAAAACAAAAAAAACGCCCCGGAGGGCGCGAGGGCCTCTGAGGAGCCCCGCCGCCGTCTGAGAAGGCGGCCTCCTTCTCGCTTCCCCCGCGCGCTCGCCGCCGACCATGCACCTGCCCGGCTCGGGCAGCACTCTGTGGGGCTCGTCATCTTGGACGCCCGACATGGGTACGGGAAGAACGGGCAGGGTGCCCAACAACAAACGCTGTTCAAAACCGACAGCGGACACTGTTGGGCAGGCAGGCCCCTGCCTCAAATGGACAACGTCCACGGCGGCGAGGGCAGCGAGTCCTGTCCAAGATTCGGCGGCGAGCGAGGGGGGGAAGTGAGAAAGAGAAGAACTTCTCAGAAGGCTCGGAAGTCCTCCGGCCTCCTGAGAACTGCCCCAAGCCTTCCTAGGAGACAGAGACAGCTCCTCAGAAGTCCGGTGAGCGCTCCTGAGAAGCCCCGCCGCCGTCTGAGAAGGCCTCCTCCTCCTCCTCCTCGCTCCCCTCCCTCGCCCGCCGCCGAGAAGGGGAACAGGAATCGCAGTTGGGCATCGTGCGCACTCCTGCCCTGCCCTTTTCGCTCGTGTTAAGTCGGGCGTGTCCCCCTACAGGGGGAGTTTCGACGAAAATGAACAAATACTCCAAAAAATCTTAGAAAAAAACACAAAAAAATTGTCCAAAAATCTTCTGGGGACTATTTTTTGAATACTTTTTAACCTTTTGGGATATTCTTGGGGTACTGTTATTTTTCGTCGAAAATCCCCCTGTAGGGGGGGGGGGGACAGGCCCGACTTAGCATTCGTGCCGAGTCATTGGGGGGCGTCCCCTCTGCCAACCTCCACGGCACCGAGCCCGCCCGCGCGTCGGCGGCGCGTGGCCTCCGCGCACGCTCGCGGGGCCGGCGGCTCCGACGCGCGCCTCTCCGCGCCGAGGCCCAGGAGTCCCAAAGGGGTGGGAGCAGTTCCACGCTCCAATTGGAGGTCCACAGGGCCTGCAGGTTGCCCCTCGCCTCGGCGAGCCGCGAGATCCTGGCAGGGTACCGGGAGGGATGAGAGCCCAACCCTCTCCTCGGCTTCCTCCGGCTCCTCCTCCTCCTACTCCTCCCATCACTCATCACTCCTCCTCCTCCTCCTTCTTCTCCTCCTCCTTCTCCTCCTCCTCCTCCTCCTCCTCCGCGTCCTCCTCCTCCTCCTCCTCCCCCTCCTCCTCCTCCTCCTCCTCCTCCTCCTCCTCCTCCTCCTCCTCCTCATCATCATCATCATCATCATCATCATCATCATCATCATCATCATCATCATCATCACCCTCATCCTCATCCTCAGCCTCCTCGTCCTCCTCGTCCTCCTCATCATCATCCTCCTCCTATCACACTTCCCTACGAATCTTGCATTGCGCCCTCGGCAGGCAGTACATATCAGAATGCCCGCCAGTAGCTGTCTGGCAATTCTGCCTCACCCACCCTTGCTGAGGACAACGCAACCCATCCCCACTCCCGCCCCTCACTCCCGACCTGATGATCCCGGGGGTCCTGGCCGGGGATGGGGGTGTTTTGGGGTGTCTTTCGGGACCAAGAAACCACCCTCACCCCCAGCCAGGGCACCCTGGATCACGAGGTCGGGAGTGGAGGTCCTGGCTGGGGGTGGGGGTGGGTGGTGCTTAGGAGACCAAAAGGTACCGATACGGCTACTCCCCAGACCTCTCCCGCGTTCTGAACAGAATTTCGAGACGAATCAAGCGGCGGCGACGAGGGCCTCCAAGGAGGACAAAATAAAAGAAAACGAGGCAAGGGTAGCGGTATCGGTACCTTTTCCTCCTCTCATGGACTGCGCCGTCCTCACCTGCAGAGTGACCTCGTCGAAGCTCGCCCACAAGTCGCCTTGCCTCCCCCAGCGCCTAGGACAGGCCTGGGACAGCCACCGGGTGCCCCAATACCCGCCCAGAGCAGCCCAGAGACCTCCCAGAGGCACCAAGTCGGGAGCGGCCAAGAGGGGGGTGTCCAAGAGGGGGGGGGTGCAAATCATGACCGGCGGCATGTGTGCGGCCCAGCGGGGGGGCCAGGGACGTAATGAAATAAGAAAATGCGCCATGAAATCTGGGGAAATATCGTGGCCCACGCCATGATATCCACCCCCCCTAGTCATCACCCCCCTCTTTGCCGCCCCCGAACCAAGATGTCCCCAGGAGACCCTGGGACGCCCCGGGCAGCCCCGCCGGCCACCCGTGAGATTGTAGAGAAGGGCGGGGCGAGACGCCCAGCCCGCCACACTCGCACGTCCGGTGGCGGGCCGAGCGTCCGCCACCGGGGCAGCGCAGCAGCGAAGCATGTGCAGGGTCACAGGCACACAGAGAGGCGTGAGCGCGCTCGAGATGCCCAAGGCCTTTCTCGGGGAGCTCCCTCGAGGCCTCGATGGGTGAGGCTTCTGGTCATCGACCTACTGCCCGAGATTCTCGCACGAAGTTTGCTCGCGGAACCACCCGATGGTTGTACCTCTTTCGAACAGTCTTCTCGCTCGACACCCAGGAAGGGGTCGACCCGAAAACTACACGCATGACGGTGGATTGCTCAAGTCCGCGATCCTGCTAGATACTACACGACAAGGACGACGATCAAGACGACGGCGACGACGACGACGGCAAAACAGCACTACGACGGCGAAAGAGACACGACTACGAAAAGGACGAAGACGACCATGAAGACGACGACGACGACGACGACGACAACGACGACGACGAAGACGAAGACGACGACGGCAAAAGCCACGAAGCTGACAGGGCTGAAGCGTGTGAGTTTCTGAGAGCGTGGACTTGAGCTCGCTCAAGCTTCGCTCTGCAGGGGGGGGACGCCATTCCCGACGCCATTCCCGAGGCCATTCAGTGCTCGGGAGCCTGGGGGGGGTTCGCTCTGCAAGGGGGAGGGGGGGGGGGGACATTCCCGACGCCATTCCCGACGCCTTTCAGTGCTGGGGAGCAGGGGGGGGGAGGGTTCGCTCTGCAAGGGCGGGGGGGGGGGACGCCATTCCCGGCGCCATGCAATGCTCGCGGGCGGGGGGCTTCGCTTCCGACGGTCCCACAAACTCCCGGGACCGCGTCAAGACGGCTTAAATGGCTTCCAAGACGACCCCAAAACGGCGCAAGGGAAAGCCAAGAGGGCCCAAGAAGCCCCCAAGCCAGCCCAAGAGGGCTCCACCAGGGCCCCAGGAGAGGCCCAAGAGGGAGAGCCCGGACCGAAAATCAAAGTCTTTCCTTTCACGACGTTCTCCAGATGCTCCAAGACGCCCCCAGGAGGCCCCAACAGGCCCCCAAAAAGCCCACAAGAGAATCCGCAACGCCCCCAAGAGGCCCGAACCAAGGCCCAAGAGGCCCCAAAACGAGCCCCAAGACGCTTCCCGATTGCTCTATCCCCTGAGCCACAGTCCTCAAGCCGGTGGATCCTTCATGGGCTCGGACCCCAAACTCTCAAATCTCTTATGAGGATGTCTCGAACGAGGGCTGTATCTGCAGCATACACGGTCATCCATTCCCATCAGCATTGGGAGCGCCCCGGATCGGCGGCACTGGCCAGAGGCCATTACAACACATACAGATATGCATATATGCATAATACATAGAGACATACATATTTATATATATATATATACATACATACATGCATACATGCAGATATACATAATAGATAAATACGGCCATATATAAATACGGTCATAGATATATGCATAATACATAGGTACACACATACACAATACATGAATATGGCCATAGATACACACATGCATACATGCATACATGCATAACCATAGACATGCATATGTATTCATATATATATATATACACACACGCACACATACAATCATACATACATACATACATACATACATACATACATACATACATACATACATGCATACATACATACATACATACATACATACATACAGCCATACATACATACAAATATGTATACATACGTGTGTGCATGTATGTTTGTATTATAAAGGTTTGTCTGTATGGATGTATGTAAGTATGGATGGCTGTATGCATGTGTGCATGTGTGTATGTATGTATGTGTATGCGTGCTCATGTGGCTAGGTGTATGCATGCATGCATGCATATAAGTATGTGTGTATGCATGTATGCATGTATAGATGTGTATGTATGCATGTATGAATGGATATATGTATGGATGTGTGTATTGATGTTTGTATGCACGTGTGTACTTGTATGTATGTACGTATGGATGTATGTACGTATGCATGTATGGATGTATGCATGTATGTGTGCACATGTGTATGCGTGTATGCATGTGGGTATATGTATGTATGTATGTATGTATGTGTGCATGCATGTGTGGATGGATGTATGTGTGCATGCATGCATGTGAGTATGTAAGTGTATATGTGTCCGTATGCATGCATGGGTGCATCTGTGTATGTGTATATGTATAAATGTGTGTATGTATGTATGTGTGCTTGTATGTATGTATGTGTGTATGTATGCATGTATGTATGTATGTATGTACGAATGGATGCACCCATGTATGTATGTGTGTATGTGTGTAGTGTGTCTATGTGTGTATGTATGTATGTCTGTATGTATGTGTGTACGTATGTATGCATGTATGTACGCGTGTGTATGTACGAGTGTATGTAGTTATGTAGGTATGCATGTATGTGTATGTATGCATGTACGTATGTATATGTGTAAGTATGTATGTATGTACGTATGGTTGTACGCAGATGCATACATATAGATGGGAGGATGACGGGGAAGACAGAAGAGGAAACGAGGGGACAGAAGGGGGAACGGGGAGATGAAGGGAACGAGGAATGAGAGGGGGAGGTAGGCAGGGCACGGAGGCTGGGACGCAGGGAGAAGGACGAACAAGGCGATAAGCAGACAGGCTGGCCGAAAAAATAGGCAAGCGGACAGGTGGGCCGCCAGACAGTCGGCCAACCAGACTTCTGCGGCAACTGATGGGGGCCCCCGATACCATCTTGTTGGCTCTTGCGGATCGATGCTGATCGAGGCTAATCGACGCGAGTCGACGCTAATCGACGCGAAACCGGCGGTATCCCATCGATTACCAGACGCTGACCGACGCTAATACGCTCTACAAACTGACTTGCGAGGGCATGGACGGCTCCCATGATATGGTACCGAAATCAGACGGCCAGCCAACCCCGTCACTCAGTCAGCAGCCAATCAGTCGGTCGCTCGCTCTCTGGGCCGGTCAAGCGCACCAGCTGTTCAGCCAGTGAGCCAGCCAGGAGGAGGCGGAGGAGGCCGCTCGCTCGGACTCGGCACTGCAGCAGTCTGCGCGCCGTCCTGCTGAAGGCTCTCACCCCGAGAGCCAAAGGGGGGTACTCTTGTTTCGACCGCCCCACCCCTCAGCGAAGGGAGGCCCAGCCCTGAGCTCCGGGCGGCCCAGAGAACAGAAACGAGAGGGCGGCGGACGGCGCGAAGCGCCAGAAACCCAAGCGCGGAGGAGGGGGCAGTGGGAGCGGGAGCGGGAGCGCGCGATCTGGATGAAAGTGGTGTGGAGCGTAGAATGTTTTGGACGTCCGGTATACTCTGAGGGGGCCGGGAGGAGACGGAGACCCGGGAGGAGACGGAGCAGGCGCAGACGACGCGGCCAGGGTGACCCATGTCGCGCGCGAGCGGGGCCCCGGGGGGGGAGCTCGGCGGCCCTGCGCGATGGAGCGAAGCAGGAGGGAGGGGCAGGGGGGGGGCAGGGGGGGGGGGGGGGGGGGCAGGGGAGGAGGGAGAGGAGGGAGGGGGTGGAGGGAGGGAGGGAGAGGAAAGGGCAGGGTGGGGGGGGGGGGGGCAGGGGCAGGGAGGGGGGGGGGGGCGGCAGGGAGGGGCAGGGGCAGAGAGCGGGAGAGGCAGGGCAAGGAGGCAGGGGCAGGGAGAGGAGGGGAAGAGCCAGGGGCAGGGAGGGGCAGGGAGAGGGAGCGATGGGAAGGGGGGGGGCGCAGGTCAGCGATGGGGGAAAGCGGAAAGTCCTTGACGCGTTCTGCTGCAGCTCGCTGCGCGCGTCCTGCTTGGGAGGCACAGCGGGACGCAGACACGAGAGGGAGGAGGGGGAGAGAAGGAGGGGGAGGTAGGGGAAAAGGGTGGGAAAGAGAAGAGAAAGAGAGAACGGCGCACGATTTTCCCCAATCGTCACGTGTTGGGCCCTCGTCCTCAATAGAACAGTCGTGCCCACGCTGCCTCAACATATTCGCCCTCCTCCCCTGCAAGCTTACTAAAACAATACGGCTTGACAAGATATAGCCCATTTTCCGTGCGAATGTTGTACATGTCGAAACTCTGGGTGGCCAAATTGGAGATAACATCGAGCGAGGGCCACAGCAAGAAAAAGGCTCGCCCTCTATATGTGCACTTGCTGCAAACAGTAAGACCGCGTGGCGCTACGGCCCGCCTTCCAATCACCTAACTGTTGGAAGCTCGTGGACTCGTGCGTTGCGCTGGGGCTGAGCTTCGTTTTGGACAGCATACGCCCTCCACCCGTGCCGCGGATTGAAACTTGCGGCATGAGCGTGGGCAGTTGCTGCGACAACAGACGCATGTTTAAAACAGCATGTACTTCATCTGTGTGACTGTTAGGACTGTCGGGCTTCGGCATCGTAGTATGCGGGGGTGATTCCCGCCGAACACCCCACCAGCCCTGTCGGTGCGTCCAATGGTGCCACGGGGAACGCTTGCTCCCCAAGCAATGCTTACACTCAAGCACCCATCGGTCGGAAGAATTAAGTAGAGACATGAAGCAGAAGGGCGTTGAAAATAGATTGGGTCCCGTGCGCCCCCTGAGGAGGACGGAAAGGGTGAAGCCACTCGATCATTGAAGTAGAAAGGCGCCTAAAGTAGCGGGGTATCTCCGAATCCCAAAACACCTATTTTCAACGACAGGCGGGTAAATAGCGGGTTGGGTTCCCCGCGTCTTGGCAGATTTGGCACCCGTGTCCGCTCGCGGGCGTTTCGTGGGCGCCCCTGGGCGCGGAGTGGGCTGCCCGAGGGTTCGCCGCGCAGGAGCCCGCGCCCGCTCGCGGGCGCCTCGTGGGCGACCCGTGCGCTGCGAAGGCTTCCCGGGGGTTCGCCACCTCGGCGCCCGCGTCCGCTGGTGTACGCCTCGTGTACACAACATAGCTCACACAACACAACGTGCACAGCATAGCTAACGTTGTACCACCTAGCTCACACCACGTAGTCTTCGCCGCCCAGCTCTGACACCGCATAGTCTTCAGTGCGCAGCTTATACCGCTCAGGTTACATCGCATAGCTCCCACCACACAGCGCACGCCACATTGCTTACACCACATAGCTTAAACCACGTGGCGTATGGATCGCTTGGGAAACGTGGCTCTCGCCTGTGGCGCCGTGCATTCTCGCCTTGAACCTGGAAGCATTGCAACAATTACCCGGATGACGCACAGGTCGGTTTCAAGATGGGGATATCTTTGCAGCGCTCCGCACACTCTTTGACTGGCTCGCCGAAGAGACTGCACGGCTGGAAAGCGGCTCGGTTTCATAGCGGTGCACCCGGCTGCGACTGCACGCGAATGCGCAACCCGAAGGTCTACCGCGTGCAATAAAGTTGTGCGGGGGGAAGGGCGGCCCCAAAGAAAACAAAAACCTGGAACGTGTGCAGCGGACTGCGGAACCTCCCCAAAACAAAGCTGCCGCACTGCCGAGACATGCCACACACCCCACAACATGCGAGAAAATCTACAAACATATACAATTACCAAGCGTTGGCAACCCGGCCGTACATGACCCGCGACTCAGTCGCTGTTGGTGCGCATCCCAAGGAGAGCACGTCGATGTCCGCCGCGGAGGAGTTGACCGTGCGCTCCAGGGCAAACCTCCAGCGCGGTACCAGCCTGGGCGCAACCCACTGCCACCCTTGCACTGCACGCCCCTGCCTCTCTGCGTGCCTGATCGCTGGCCGGATGCCTGGCGGGCCCGTTCCAAGAACGGAGCCTCGCCGGCACGGAAGGCCCACGGAGCGAGCGTTTGTCTGTCAGAGGTTGGGCGCTGCCCGCACCATTAAGTGAGGTCTGCAGGAACTCGTAAAGAGGGGAATGAGGGACGGGAGGGTGTGCAGCATTAACGTTGATGCATGTCCCGCTCCTCCTCCTCCTCCTCCGCCTCCTCCTCCTCCACCACCTCCTCCTCCCTCCTCCTCCTCCTCCTCCTCCTCCTCCTCCTCCTCCTCCTCCTCCTCCTCCTCCTCCTCCTCCTCCTCCTCCTCCTCCTCTGACCCCACACCCTCCTCCTCCTCGCCATTCCTCCTCCCCCTCATCCCCCTCCTAACCGATCGGCGGCGCGAGCTCCTGCAGCAGCGAGCCCAGCTCCTTCGCGCGGCTGGTTGCCTGCAGCGCCGCGTCGGTCTCCTGCACCAGCGTGTCCTGGGGCTGCAGGCCACCCCCCTCACTCCCCCGAGCGTTCTGCACCAGGAGGTGGAACCCTGGCACCCAGACCCCCTCGGGACGTGAAGAATGCCCTGACGATGTACCCGACCCTTTCGCAACGCATGGCCAGAACATCTGGGTAGACTCTAGACCTTACACGGGGTGATCATGTGGAAAGGATGTATGTGTTTTGCAAGTGGTATTTGGGAGGCCAGCGAGGTGCGCGACCCGCAGGACACGGATCAGTGGACAAGAACTTGATGGATCTGATTCGCTAGTTCCCTGGGTCGAGGGGAAAGATGGGCAGGACCAAGAGGAGAAGGCGGACAGGGAGCTGGAAACGTGAGCGGGACAGCAGCAAGAGAACATGGCACACGCACGAGAGTGACAACAAAAGACGGTCAGAGGAAGGCTAGAGATGATGCGTCGAGGTATGCCAGCAATCAGCCACTCGAAAGTGGCGACGGTTTCGCAGTTCGCCCCCCCCCCCCACCCAGAGATTGAGAGGTCGAATCTAAATCTGCGTAAGACCCCTACTATGCTAGGCCTCCCAGCAGTTCTCGAAAGTGGCGACAAATTCGCAGATCGCAGCCCCTCCGGGATGGCGAGGTCGAATCTGAATCTGCGTAAGACGTCACTCCTCTGGAGACCCCAACAGCCCTCGACAGAGGCGACCGCTTCGCAATTCGCAGCCTCCCAAAGATGGCGAGGTCCCGCTCTCATCTGCGTAGCACCGCACTAAATGCTAAATGGGCCCACCAGCAGCCCTCGAAAGTGGCAACAGTTTCGTTGATCGCAGCCCCCCAGGGATGGCGAGGTCTAACGTAAGTCTGGATATGGCGACGCTGTGCTGGCCCCTCCGAGAGCCCACGAACGCGGTGACAGTCTCGCAGATCGCAGCCCCCCGGGGATGGCGGGGGTTGTACTCAGAGCCTGGGTGCGGCGACAATGTGTTGTCCCCCCAAGCAGCCCCCGAATGTGGCGACATTCTCGCAGATCGCAGGCCCCCAAAGATGGCGAGGTCTAGTCTGGGTCTGGGTATGGCGACGCTGTGCTGCCCCCACACACACATGTGCCCTCGAACGTAGCGACAGTTTCGCAAATCGCGGGCCCCCAAAGATGGCGCGGTCTAATCCAAGTCCGGGTATGGCGACACTGTGCTGCGCCCCCTTCCCCCAGCCGCCCTCGAAAGAGGCAACACTTTATCAGATCGCACCTCCCCCTGGGATGGCGAGGTCTACCATGGTCCGGGAGGGCGACACTGTGCTGGCCCCCCCAGCAGCCCTCGAAAGTGGCGACGGTTTCGCAGATCGCAGCCCCCCAAGCATGGCGAGGTCTAGTCTGAGTCTGGGTATAGCGACACTGTTTTGCCCCACACACCCCAGCAGCCCTCGAAAGTGGCGACCATTTCGCAGATCGCAGCCACCCAGGGGGGGGTAGGCGGGAGGGGGGCGGGAGGTGGAGACCACAGTGCTCGATTCAAAGCAAGAACCCAATAACGGAAGGCTGGGAATGCGATCGACGACAACCCGACGAGACGCTGCCCCCCCCCCCACCCAGCAACTCTCGGAACTGGGGGCACTTTCGCAGATCGCAGCCTCCCAGGAAGCGGCAGGGTCCCATCTGAGTCTGCTGATCGCAGCCCCCAAAGGATGGCGAGATCTAATTTGAATCTGGGTGGGGCCCCACTGTGCTGCCCCCCCCAGCAGCCCTCAAAAGTGGCGACACATTCGCAGATCGCAGCCCCCCAAAGATGGCGAGCTGTACTCTGAATCTGCGTAAGACGTCACTGTGCTGGCCCCCCCCCCAGCAGCCCTCGAAAGTGGCGACAATTTCGCAAATCGCAGGCCCCCAAAGATGGCGAGGTCTAATCCAAGTCTGGGCAGGACGTCATCTGCTGCCCCCCCCCCCCCCCAGCACAGGTGTCACTTGCGACGGCGACGGTTTTTTCGCAGACGACGACGAGCAGTCCCCCAAAGATGGCGAATGTCTAAAAAATCGCGAGTCTGGCAGACGTCACCTTTGCTCCCTCCCAGCAAGCCCTCGCAAAGTTGGTAACAATTTCGCAGAATCGCAACCACCCAAAGACATGGCGCGAGTCACTCCGACTCTGGTGGACCGTCACTCTGCTGGCCCTCCCAGCAGCCCTCGAAAGTAGAGACAATTTCGCAGATCGCAGCCCCCCAAAGGTGGCGAGGTCTAATCCGAGTCTGGGAGTCTGGGTAGGACGTCACTCTGCTGGCCATCCCAGCAGCCCTCGAAAGTGGAGACAATTTCGCAGATCGCAGCCCCCCAAAAATGGCGAGGTCTAATCCGAGTCTGGGTAGGACGTCACTCTGCTGGCCCCCCCCCCCCAGCAGCCCTCGATAGTGGCAACTATTTCGCAGTCCGCAGCCCCCCTAGGATGGCGAGGTCTAATCTGAATCTGGGTAAGACGTCACTCCGCTGGACCCCCCAGCGACCAGTGCTCTATTCGAAACGAATACCCGAGCAAGGAGGGTTGGGAATCAAGCAAGAGGCAAGGGCATAAGGAGGCAGGAGGAGGGAGGCGGGAGGAGGAGGAGGAGGAGGAGGAGGAGGACGTGGAGACCACAGTGCACTCTTCAAAACGAACACCCAACCAAGGAGG